GCTCGACTGTGCAGGGGCTGCCGCGCGCCGGACGCCTGGGCTAGCTGCTTTCTACAATTATCTTCCCATTCCTGCCTAAAGATGATCATTCCCGCTCCGTCTAATATCATACGCCCTATCCGTTCGATATCAAAGGGAAGCAAGTCATCGTTGCTAAAAAGACCATCGATTAACGTAGTAACTATAGCCGAGTTGATCCCTTTTTCCGCAATGGCTTTGACAATTGCCTGTATATCCTTTGGGTTTATCGGGGTATATACCCTTTGTTGGTTCCCTTCCGGACCGGTAAGCCGTACTGGGAAGGCTTGTATGGCTGCCGCTGGGGACCATTCAGCACAAGCTATCTTTATTTTCCCCCAGTCAGTAAACTGGGCTGATTCGTATTGTATTTGTTTTTCGGCGCGGCTTAGAGCTTTACCCGGCTTTGTTTCGAGCCGTGCCGGTTCCGTTTCGTCTGAATCGGAGCCATCGCTAGCTTCCGTCAGCTCCTCCGAGCTGCTGGAGCTGTTGCTGGTCTCCGAGCCGGAAGACGAGTGCCAGCGTACTTCCGGGGCCCCGTGCCGTTTTGTTCGGCCCCGAGCTCGCTCCTCCCCGTAGGGGTGGCGCCGCTCCCGCCCCCCCGACTCGCCGCGCCTACCGCGGGGGGTGGTTTTTCCCTTATATGGTGGCGGATCCCGGCGCGGCTGCCGATTGGCTCTGTGTCCCGAGCCGCTCTCCGCCCCTTTCTCCCGCGCGCGCGCATTCCCGAGGTCGCGCTCCCCCCGGGTGTTCGCGCCGGGACCGCCCGAGCCCCGCCCCTCCCCGCCGCTCGCGGCGCCATGTTCAAACGGGTAGGGAGGCGGCGTGGCCGCGCCGTCTTCCCAAATCGCGGTTTCGGCGGCTTGGGCTTCTTTTAGCAGCCCTTGCCAGAAGCGCTCCGCGTGCTTTTGCGTCTCCGGCATCGGATCGCGGGCGGGCGGCGGCGGCGGCTCGGAGGAATTTGCGGTCTCTCGGGGGATATGAGCGGGGGGGGGGTTTTGGGGATTTTCGGCGGCGGGGGTGTCGCGGGGGGTTCCTGCGGGGGGGGGTGGGCTCTGATCTGGGGGAGGGGGTGTCGCGCTGAGCCCCCCTGGGTCCCCGCTGCCGGGCAGATCGCTCTCAGGGGCAGTCTGCGTCCCCGCCCCCACGCCGAGTTTAGGAGTAACTAATAAACACGTGCGCGCCGCGGTCCATGTCTCCTGCTCTTCTATCGCTTTGCGTAGGGCTTTTTCTACTCTGCCCCATGCTTTAAGATTTCTGCCGCTGCCGGAGGATTTTGTGTCCTCGGCTAGCGCGGCAGTGCATTTGTCCCATATTTCCGGATGTAATACATCCACGGGACGCTCTATTGCCCCTAGCTCAAGCAATCTCGCCATGGCAAGATGAAAATCCTTGAGCTTACACCCAATACCCCACTGTGAATAAATAGCACTCACGATCCTGGCCATTGCGTCCATGACGCCCGCGGATCCTAGGGGACGTCTCCCCTTACGCCTGGGTACGGTCCGACCGTCCTGGCCGCTGCTTCTGTCCAGGTGAAACCCGTCCACCGGGCAAATTTTTCTTCTTTTGTCCCGGATTTCCGGCACCAGTATGTTGCCTTTATGAAAGACAACCAGGGGCCTGGTTCAGGTGGCAGCACGGCGGCCTGGTCTCGTCCAAGCCACTCGGGCTAATCAACACACGCAGATACCAATATGGCAGACGGTTGAAAAGCGTTTATTATCCTATCTCGTGGGTTTAAATAGGTTTAGGGGTCTTTGCTACGTCAGAGGGGGGTTGGGGGTCTCAGAGGATAGTGGGTAGTGGAATTTTACCAGAACAGGTGTGGCTACATTCTTCTCTGACTCCTGGGGTTAACAGATAAGCGGGGAAGAGAGAGGGGGGAAGGGGTCTGTCTTTCCGTGACATCCCGGTGATCTTCCGCTCCGCCTGTCCCTATCTACCACAGGGGCCCCTGTCTACCCAGAAGACCTGTGGAAGAAATCCGCAAAGCAGATCTACGAGGTGTGTCAGGCCCAGGTAATTGGGAAGGATAGACCCAAAATTGAGTGTTACATGTGGAACGGCGGTGAGCACAAGTGGCTTAACGGCCTCTTGGACACAGGGGCAGACGTCACAGTCATTCCCTTACGGGATTGGCCGTCGCGTTGGGAGTTGCAAGACGTGGCTGGACACATTCAAGGTGTCGGAGGGGCACAATTGGCAAAACAGTCAAAAAACATCATCAAATTTGAGGGGCCAAACAGACAGACAGCTTACCTGCGTCCGTTTGTTCTGGATTACACGGAGCCCCTGTGGGGAAGGGACCTGATGGCCCGGGGGGGGGTCTCATTGACCATTCCTACCCCCCAGGTTTTTCGGGCAGCGGTCACTGAGGAGCGTCCTACCCAAAAGTTAAATTGGCTCTCTGATGTTCCAATCTGGGTAGAGCAGTGGCCGCTCAATAAACAAAAATTGAAAGCGCTCCAAAAACTCGTGGCAGAACAACTTGCCAAGGGACATATCCAAGAAACAACATCTCCTTGGAATTCCCCCATCTTTGTCCTGAAAAAACCAGGCAAAGACGAATGGCGGTTGCTTCACGACCTCCGTGCCATCAACAATGTGATCGAAAATATGGGTCCACTCCAACCAGGGATGCCGTCCCCCACAATGTTACCCAAAGATTGGGAATTGGCTGTGATTGACATCAAAAATTGCTTCTTTCATATCCCCCTCCACCCAGACGATGCACCACGTTTTGCCTTCTCGGTTCCGTCCCTTAACCGAGAAGCCCCAATGGAGCGGTACCATTGGCGAGTATTGCCACAGGGCCTCAAATGCTCGCCCACCATCTGCCAGCGGTACGTAGCTTCATTGCTGACCCCAGTCCGTACAGCCACCGAGGGCGTGATCATCCAACATTATATGGATGATATCCTGATTTGTGCTCCCAATGACGATCTCCTTACACACGCGCTTAACCTGACAACCGATGCGTTGGTTGCTGCAGGGTTCGAGCTGCGAGAAGATAAGATTCAAAAGATGCCACCCTGGAAGTACCTGGGCTTGGAAATTACCAAGCGGACTATTACTCCGCAAAAATTGGCCATCAAAAACAAAATTCGGACCCTAGCAGACGTCCAGCAGCTGTGCGGTTCTTTGAACTGGGTGAGGCCATGGCTAGGCATCACAAACAGAGACCTAGCCCCTCTTTTCGATTTATTGAAAGGGGGGGAGGAGCCGAGTTCTCCCAGGGAACTCACCCCAGAGGCCCAAGCAGCTTTGATTAGGGTCCAGGAGACAATGTCTGCCAGACAGGCCCACCGGTATGATCCGGACCTGCCTTTTAAATTCATCATATTGGGCAGGCTGCCACACCTCCATGGTGTGATATTTCAATGGACAGACACCCCAAGGAAGGGCAAGGGCCAAGACCGAAGGGACCCACTCTCCATCATAGAATGGGTCTTCCTAAGTCACCATCGGTCCAAGAGAATGACAAGGCCACAGGAGTTAGTAGCGGAACTGATCCGCAAAGCAAGAGCTCGGATCAGAGAGTTAGCTGGATATGACTTTGAATGCATTCACATTCCCATCAAATTGGAATCAGGCCAATTCACCAAGGCCATGCTAGAACATCTGTTACAGGAAAATGAATCCCTGCAGTTCTCTCTAGACAGCTACACAGGCAAAATTTCAGTTTTGAGACCAGCCCACAAAATTTTTGAATCAGAAATTCAATTTGCATTGTCCATCAAACAAATTCAGAGCAAAAAACCACTCAAAGCCTTGACAGTTTTTACAGACGCGTCCGGGAGTTCCCACAAGTCTGTAATAACTTGGAAAGACCTCCAGACGCAGCAGTGGGAGACAGACATTGTGGAGGTGGAAGGCTCCCCTCAAATAGCTGAGTTGGCTGCCGTCGTCAGGGCCTTTGAGCGATTCTCTGAACCTTTTAATTTGGTAACTGATTCGGCATATGTGGCTGGTGTAGTGTCTAGAGCGCAGGATGCTGTCCTGCAGGGTGTGTCCAACGAAGCCCTGCACAAGTTGCTCTCGAAACTGATTAAGCTAGTCTCCCACCGAGAGCAACCCTTTTATGTGATGCATATCAGGTCACATACCAACTTGCCAGGGTTTTTGGCAGAGGGCAATCGGCGTGCCGATTCTCTCGCTGCCGCCCCGGCTCAGGTAGCTCCGCTCCCAGATAAGTTCCAGCAGGCTAAGATCAGCCACCAGTTTTACCACCAGAATGCGCCCGGGCTGGTCCGGCAGTTCCACCTCACTCGGGACCAAGCCAGAGCCATTGTGGCCACCTGCCCGTCCTGCAAGTCGCTCCCCCTGCCATCGGTGAGCTCAGGGGCAAACCCTAGGGGTCTGAAGTCCTGAGAGGTATGGCAGATGGACGTTACTCACATCCATTCCTTTGGGAGGATGAAGTACGTCCATGTCTCCGTGGACACTTTCTCTGGGGCAGTCTTTGCTTCTGCCCACGCAGGGGAGAAGGCCAAAGACATTGAAAAGCATCTGATACAGGCCTTCGCTATGCTGAGCGTCCCTAAATTGATAAAAACAGATAATGCCCCCGGGTACACATCCAAGGGATTTGCCAGCTTCCTGCAGCAATGGGGAATAGAGCACAAAACTGGCATCGCATATTCCCCGACAGGTCAAGCAGTGGTGGAACGGACTCATCAGAGTCTCAAACGCATGCTGAAACAGCAAACACCAACTATGAAGGTGGAGTCCCCCCAAGTTCGGCTCGCACGTGCCCTCTTTACACTGAATTTCCTAAATTGTTCTTTTGAAAACCTCAACCCACCAGTCACCAGGCACTTTAACAACCACGAGCTGAGCAAGGTTAGGGAAAAACCACCAGTGATCATCAAAAATCTAGAGACTTGGCAGCTGGAAGGGCCCTATGAGTTAGTTACCTGGGGACGGGGATACGCTTGCGTGTCCACGCCCTCAGGCCTGAGATGGATCCCGTCCAAATTTGTCCGGCCATATGTCCCTAAACACCAGACTGATAAGAAAAAGGATCCTCAGGTGAAGCATGCAGCCCTCCGCCGACGGAGAAAGTCTCCCCCCTTCCTTTTTGACTCAGCACCTTCTCTTTCAGAGCCTTCCCTTTCACCATACAGTTCCCTGGACTCACCTTTCCCTTTTGATTTAAACCTCCCCTCCCTAAAATGCTGAATTATTTTGCTGTTAACATTCATTGTACTTATTATGAGTTTTAGTAATGTTTAAAGGTTTAAAGGTCATCAATTCCACCGCGCACATCGACCACGCAGTCTTCACCGCCCCATCAGAGCTGACATCTGCTCAACACAGACAGCCAGAGAAGAACCGAGCAGACATTAGGTTCAACGATGGGAAAAAGGACTGTAAAACCTCCCATTTAAGTTATTTTCCGTTCTTTTCTTTTGAAAAACAGAAGAGGCAGTTGTGGAATTGTGTTATTATATGTTCTATTATGTATAAGGTCATTCCATGTATCCCCTCGCACTCTGTAAGTGACCTTCCGGGCTCTCCCATTTCCCCCCGTGGTCTGCCTTCCCGAGGAAGTGCCGAGTCATTCTGTTTACGTCTCCCAGACCATCTGTCAGCCACGCGGCGGGGTCGAGAGACGACCGGGCACCCTTCCATCTGTCCATCTCCCATTGGACCCCTGCACCCTGTGGAATTGTGTTATTATATGTTCTATTATGTGTAAGGTCATTCCATGTATTCCCCCCGCACTCTGTAAGTGACCCCCCGGGTTCTCCCATTTCCCCCCGCGGTCTGCCTTCCCGAGGAAGTGCTTAGTCACTTTGTTTACGTCTCTCAGACCATCTGTCAGCCATGCGGCGGGGTCGAGAGACGACCGGGCACCCTTCCATCTGTCCATCTCCCATTGGACCCCTGCACCCCACTATCCCCAAGTCCCCCCGTGGCGTTATCTCATTGGCCGCCCCGGGTTTCCCCTATCCCGTACTTATAGAGCCGGTTGGGGACGCCCCGGTGCTTTTTCTCCCGCCTGGCCCCTGTTCGCTGCTGCTGCCCGGCCCGCCGCCTCTTCTCCCGCCGGATCCCTGCGTGCTGCCGCGGCTCTCTCTCTCGCCCGGCCCCTGCCGCAACCGCCGCCACTGCCTCAGGCGATCGCGGCCGCCCCGGGCTGCCCCGTGATCGCTGCTTCAGCCGTACCGCTGCCGCCGCCGCTGCCGCGGTCGCCGCGGCTCCTGCACGTGTCGGCAGCAGCGCCGCGGCTCTGCACACAGCGTCTCTTGGATCGCGGCCAGCGCCGGAGCGCGCCGCCCCGCCCCCGAATCGGCCAGGCGGCACGGACAAACTCGAACTTAGCACGCAGCAGCTTCTCGGTTTTTTCCTTCCCAACCAAGCCATAAGAAACCGAGATATCGCCCGCGGGGGAAAAAGTCTCTCTCCTTTTGTTCGCCTCGGGACTCGCCTAGCTCCCAAACCCACGCAGCACCGGCAGTTACCCGCGAGGGTTCGCCGGAAAACACGGAAGTTGCCAGCGCTCCCCCCCCCCCTCACAGCTAGCTGGGACGAAAAGGGGGACAAAAGAGAGCGCTAAGGCAGTTGTGGCGACCAACGCGTTGCTTGGGAGCTCCAAGCACACGGACTGAGGACCACCGAGCCCCGAAAAGCTCGTTGATTTACCTCGTGGACGTTACAACACCCTCGCAAGCCGCGGTTCCGTTTTAAGGAGCCAGGGCTTCCAGAGGGGTGGGGCCGGCACCTTTGGCTAGCACCGCCGAAGCTCGGCCCCCCCACGGCGAAAACTTCGCAGCTGGACTTTTCGTTTCACCTTCGGACGTCGCCGGACCCGTGGTGAGTTACCGGGGTCCCCCTGGGCTGGGTACGCCTTGCTCCCTTTGGGGTGAGTTTCTCTTTCCCCCACAAGAGGGCGTAAGAGCCCACATTTTGTCTCTTGCTTCAGGGAGTGTAAGGGAGGGTTTCCCAGTCTCCGACAGGTGTCTTTTTTTTCTTTTGTTATTTTACCAGCCGCGAGGGTTGTGACACGCCTTAACATCGACATAATGGGTGCAAAAATGTCTGTGTCACAGGAGAGAATTTATGTTCAAACCCTAGGAATTTTAGTTGGGGGAGGGAAGAAATGTAAAAAATCAGACGTGAAGCGTTTTGCACGGTGGCTTCTGCAGTCTTTCCAGGACCTGTCGCAGGAAAATCTGTACCAAGTCCAATTCTGGGACCGAGTGGAAAAAGAAATTGCCCAAAAAGAGGATCAGTCCCTCTCAATTTTTATCCACCTCGCAATTCAATTGAAAAATATTGTTAAAGATAACTGCGAAGGGAAGCCAGAGCCACCACAGGGCGAACGCTGCCTCCCGAGGCCTCCAAATCCCCCAAGAACCCTCTCCTGTCCCTCTCTCCCTAGCCCGGGGATTCTCAGACAGGCATCCCGGCAAAACCAGCCGCAGGCAGATTCTGGCCTCTCTGCTAACCCCCAGGCTCCTATGCAGGACGATGCTGGCATCGCCCTGCACCCTTCCCCTCCCCAAACCTCCTCTCTTAGCAAAGTTGTGAGTTTTAAAACCCCAGATCCCTGCCCCAGGGCACAAGATGGAGGCGACCACATGGCATCCCCCTCCCCCTCCCTGCATTCTTTGTCTTCTAACGACCCCCTCCGCCCTACAGCCAACCCCTCCCACTCCCGAGACTTCTCCACCCACCCCTCCCCTCCACCCCCTTCTGGCACCTCCCCTAATGAATCATTCAGCAGTCCTCCCTCCGACCCCGCCCCTAGGGGTGAGATAACACCAGCCACACCCCCTAGCCCTGGTCCTGCCTCCACCCTCGGTTCCCGCGACCCGCCCTCTGGTTCCCACGCCTCGGTTCCCGAGGGAGGGGGGGGGACGGAGGAGGAGGGAGGGGGGGAGGGGGGAAGCCGCGACCTGCCGCAACCCCTGCTTGCCTTTTCTGCCGCACCAGTCACCTACACCCCGCGGCAGAAGGGCAGACCCTTGGCACAGTGGACCCCTATCCCACAGGCTGTAATTAGAGATGTTTGCAAAGCCCAAAAAGACTTTGGTCGGGAAAGTGAATACTTTAGGGGACTTTTAAAAGTCACACTTTCCTCCAATGAATACGTCCCTGCTGACATCCGCGCTCTGTTTTTGTGCTTGCTTACTCAAGCTGAGTTTTTGGTATGGGAATCCGCATGGAGGCGGGAGGTACGGGATGCATTACCGCAACTTTGGGCAAAAGCCGAGACGTCCTCTGACACTGATGGAGGCATGTTAACCATTGACCACCTGTGTGGGATAGGGGATTGGGACGTGGCAACAACACAGGCTGAAAAGATTCCAAGGGGGGCATTGGCAGCAACTGCCAATGCAGCAGAAAAAGCATTTTTTAAGTTAAAACCCCGTGGTCCTGTTGTTAACTGTTTTTCTATTAAGCAGGAGACACAGGAATCTTTCGTTAGTTTCGTAGACAGGTTGTACAAGGCAGCTGAATCGCAGGTGCCAGAGGACGGATTGAGGCAGGGCATGGTGAAGCAGATCGCCCTGCAGAATGCCAACGAGGCCTGCCGACAGGCGATGCTGAGCCTGCCCCTCGACCCAGAGCCAACGCTCCAAGACATGCTGGACGTGTGCGCTCGATGGGTCACCCTGCCTTCAAAAGACCCTCCAGGGACACCCCAAACGCCATCACGGAGAGTCTCCTTTGCCGAAGCCCACACGCCATCCACGGCTCCGGCTCCTGCACGCCGCTTCACTGGGCCACCACCCAAAGGCTACCATCCAGGACGGCCCTGCAACCTGTGCAATAGGAAAGGACACTGGGCATCTCACTGCCCCCTCAAAGAGGACTTCTTGCGTTTTAAAAAACAGCAGCAAGGGCAAGGTGCCTCCAACTCAGGGGGACAATCAAAAAACTGATTTCCCAGCGCAGTCCCTCCCTGCGTGAGGACACAAATTTGGTGGGAAACATAACATCAGGGGGCAGGAGGGACAACACAGTAGCATACCCACCTGAGGACAATACCAAACATGACATTTCTGGGGTGCACAATAGGGGAACAAGAGCTGGTGAACCAGCCTGCGTGGGAGGAGTTGGAAATTTCATCTCACAGGCATGGCTTGGTCGGGACCCCGACCATCCCAGGCCCATCCTTAACACCCAGTCCAACTTCTCTCCATACAGGTTGGCTCTAACCGAACCCCTACTGCTCAGGGACAGCAATTGGCACTTTGTCACAGTGGACACACAGGACCCAGGGACCTGGAGAAAACTCCACAGTAAGTACATCGTCCTTGGGGACACAAAATACACGCCACTCGACATCACTATCGCACCCAATTTGACACCTGCAAACCCTAAACATCTGGTGCTGTGGCTGCACTGTGCTCACCCGCCAGTCTACCTTCCCAAAGGGCAAATCATCGCCCAGGCCATACCTGTATCTGGGGCCCCTGTCTACCCAGAAGACCTGTGGAGGAAATCCGCAAAGCAGATCTACGAGGTGTGTCAGGCCCAGGTGATTGGGAAAGATAGACCCAAAATTGAGTGTTACATATGGAATGGCGGTGAGCACAAGTGGCTTAACGGCCTCTTGGACACAGGGGCGGATGTCACAGTCATTCCCTCACGGGATTGGCCGTCGCGTTGGGAGTTGCAAGACGTGGCTGGACACATTCAAGGTGTCGGAGGGGCACAATTGGCAAAACAGTCAAAAAACATCATCAAATTTGAGGGGCCAAACAGACAGACAGCTTACCTGCGTCCGTTTGTTCTGGATTACACGGAGCCCCTGTGGGGAAGGGACCTGATGGCCCGGGGGGGGGTCTCATTGACCATTCCTACCCCCCAGGTTTTTCGGGCAGCGGTCACTGAGGAGCGTCCTACCCAAAAGTTAAATTGGCTCTCTGATGTTCCAATCTGGGTAGAGCAGTGGCCGCTCAATAAACAAAAATTGAAAGCGCTCCAAAAACTCGTGGCAGAACAACTTGCCAAGGGACATATCCAAGAAACAACATCTCCTTGGAATTCCCCCATCTTTGTCCTGAAAAAACCAGGCAAAGACGAATGGCGGTTGCTTCACGACCTCCGTGCCATCAACAATGTGATCGAAAATATGGGTCCACTCCAACCAGGGATGCCGTCCCCCACAATGTTACCCAAAGATTGGGAATTGGCTGTGATTGACATCAAAAATTGCTTCTTTCATATCCCCCTCCACCCAGACGATGCACCACGTTTTGCCTTCTCGGTTCCGTCCCTTAACCGAGAAGCCCCAATGGAGCGGTACCATTGGCGAGTATTGCCACAGGGCCTCAAATGCTCGCCCACCATCTGCCAGCGGTACGTAGCTTCATTGCTGACCCCAGTCCGTACAGCCACCGAGGGCGTGATCATCCAGCATTATATGGATGATATCCTGATTTGTGCTCCCAATGACGATCTCCTTACACACGCGCTTAACCTGACAACCGATGCGTTGGTTGCTGCAGGGTTCGAGCTGCGAGAAGATAAGATTCAAAAGATGCCACCCTGGAAGTACCTGGGCTTGGAAATTACCAAGCGGACTATTACTCCGCAAAAATTGGCCATCAAAAACAAAATTCGGACCCTAGCAGACGTCCAGCAGCTGTGCGGTTCTTTGAACTGGGTGGGGCCATGGCTAGGCATCACAAACAGAGACCTAGCCCCTCTTTTCGATTTATTGAAAGGGGGGGAGGAGCCGAGTTCTCCCAGGGAACTCACCCCAGAGGCCCAAGCAGCTTTGATTAGGGTCCAGGAGACAATGTCTGCCAGACAGGCCCACCGGTATGATCCGGACCTGCCTTTTAAATTCATCATATTGGGCAGACTGCCACACCTCCATGGTGTGATATTTCAATGGACAGACACCCCAAGGAAGGGCAAGGGCCAAGACCGAAGGGACCCACTCTCCATCATAGAATGGGTCTTCCTAAGTCACCATCGGTCCAAGAGAATGACAAGGCCACAGGAGTTAGTAGCGGAACTGATCCGCAAAGCAAGAGCTCGGATCAGAGAGTTAGCTGGATGTGACTTTGAATGCATTCACATTCCCATCAAATTGGAATCAGGCCAATTCACCAAGGCCATGCTAGAACATCTGTTACAGGAAAATGAATCCCTGCAGTTCTCTCTAGACAGCTACACAGGCAAAATTTCAGTTTTGAGACCAGCCCACAAAATTTTTGAATCAGAAATTCAATTTGCATTGTCCATCAAACAAATTCAGAGCAAAAAACCACTCAAGGCCTTGACAGTTTTTACAGACGCGTCCGGGAGTTCCCACAAGTCTGTAATAACTTGGAAAGACCCCCAGACGCAGCAGTGGGAGACAGACATTGTGGAGGTGGAAGGCTCCCCTCAAATAGCTGAGTTGGCTGCCGTCGTCAGGGCCTTTGAGCGATTCTCTGAACCTTTTAATTTGGTAACTGATTCGGCATATGTGGCTGGTGTAGTGTCTAGAGCACAGGACGCTGTTCTGCAGGGTGTGTCCAACGAAGCCCTGCACAAGTTGCTCTCGAAACTAATTAAGTTAGTCTCCCACCGAGAGCAACCCTTTTATGTGATGCATATCAGGTCACATACCAACTTGCCAGGGTTTTTGGCAGAGGGCAATCGGCGTGCCGATTCTCTCGCTGCCGCCCCAGCTCAGGTAGCTCCGCTCCCAGATAAGTTCCAGCAGGCTAAGATCAGCCACCAGTTTTACCACCAGAATGCGCCCGGGCTGGTCCGGCAGTTCCACCTCACTCGGGACCAAGCCAGAGCCATTGTGGCCACCTGCCGGTCCTGCAAGTCGCTCCCCCTGCCATCGGTGAGCTCAGGGGCAAACCCTAGGGGTCTGAAGTCCTGAGAGGTATGGCAGATGGACGTTACTCACATCCATTCCTTTGGGAGGATGAAGTATGTCCATGTCTCCGTGGACACTTTCTCTGGGGCAGTCTTTGCTTCTGCCCACGCAGGGGAGAAGGCCAAAGACATTGAAAAGCATCTGATACAGGCCTTCGCTATGCTGGGCGTCCCTAAATTGATAAAAACAGATAATGCCCCCGGGTACACATCCAAGGGATTTGCCAGCTTCCTGCAGCAATGGGGAATAAAGCACAAAACTGGCATCGCATATTCCCCGACAGGTCAAGCAGTGGTGGAACGGACTCATCAGAGTCTCAAACGCATGCTGAAACAGCAAACACCAACTATGAAGGTGGAGTCCCCCCAAGTTCGGCTCGCGCGTGCCCTCTTTACACTGAATTTCCTAAATTGTTCTTTTGAAAATCTCAACCCACCAGTCACCAGGCACTTTAACAACCACGAGCTGAGCAAGGTTAGGGAAAAACCACCAGTTATCATCAAAAATCCAGAGACTTGGCAGCTGGAAGGGCCCCATGAGTTAGTTACCTGGGGACGGGGATACGCTTGCGTGTCCACGCCCTCAGGCCTGAGATGGATCCCGTCCAAATTTGTCCGGCCATATGTCCCTAAACACCAGACTGATAAGAAAAAGGATGCTCAGGTGAAGCATGCAGCCCTCCGCCGACGGAGAAAGTCTCCCCCCTTCCTTTTTGATTCAGCACCTTCTCTTTCAGAGCCTTCCCTTTCACCATGCAGTTCCCTGGACTCACCTTTCCCTTTTGATTTAAACCTCCCCTCCCCAGAATGCTGAATTATGTTGCTGTTAACATTCATTGTTCTTATTATGAGTTTTAGTAATGTTTAAAGGTTTAAAGGTCATCAATTCCACCGTGCACATCGACCACGCAGTCTTCATCGCCCCATCAGAGCTGACATCCGCTCAACACAGACAGACAGAGAAGAACCGAGCAGACATTGGGTTCAACGATGGGGAAAAGGACTGTAAAACCTCCCATTTAAGTTATTTTCCGTTCTTTTCTTTTGAAAAACAGAAGAGGGAGTTGTGGAATTGTGTTATTATATGTTCTATTATGTGTAAGGTCATTCCATGTATTCCCCCCGCACTCTGTAAGTGACCCCCCGGGTTCTCCCATTTCCCCCCGCGGTCTGCCTTCCCGAGGAAGTGCTTAGTCACTTTGTTTACGTCTCTCAGACCATCTGTCAGCCATGCGGCGGGGTCGAGAGACGACCGGGCACCCTTCCATCTGTCCATCTCCCATTGGACCCCTGCACCCCACTATCCCCAAGTCCCCCCGTGGCGTTATCTCATTGGCCGCCCCGGGTTTCCCCTATCCCGTACTTATAGAGCCGGTTGGGGACGCCCCGGTGCTTTTTCTCCCGCCTGGCCCCTGTTCGCTGCTGCTGCCCGGCCCGCCGCCTCTTCTCCCGCCGGATCCCTGCGTGCTGCCGCGGCTCTCTCTCTCGCCCGGCCCCTGCCGCAACCGCCGCCACTGCCTCAGGCGATCGCGGCCGCCCCGGGCTGCCCCGTGATCGCTGCTTCAGCCGTACCGCTGCCGCCGCCGCTGCCGCGGTCGCCGCGGCTCCTGCACGTGCCGGCAGCAGCGCCGCGGCTCTGCACACAGCGTCTCTTGGATCGCGGCCAGCGCCGGAGCGCGCCGCCCCGCCCCCGGATCAGCCAGGCGGCACGGACAAACTCGAACTTAGCACGCAGCAGCTTCTCGGTTTTTTCCTTCCCAACCAAGCCACAATAAACCGAGATATCGCCCGTGGGGGAAAAAGTCTCTCTCCTTTTATTCGCCTCGGGACTTGCCTAGCTCCCAGACCCACGCAGCACCGGCCGATACCCGCGAGGGTTCGCCGGAAAACACGGAAGTTGCCAGCGCTCCCCCCCCCTCACAGAGCTAGCTGGGACGAAAAGGGGGACAAGAGAGAGCGCTAAGGCATCTATTAAATCTATTAATTCATGCTTCTACTACATGGTATTTATGACTCTGTATAGTGGTGTTTACATTATTTCATTGACTTCTGTTAGCTTCAGGAAAGTAGATGTGTGCTGACCTTTTTATGTTCAATATTTTTATTTTTAAAATGAAACCTAGCATTTCAGTGAAGGCTTCCTACCGCCACTGAAAAAAAAAAAAAAAAGGAAAAAAACAAAGAAAAAAAAAAAAAAGAATGACAAAAGAAATTGAAAGAAGTTGCACCAGCGGAAAAAACAGATTAATAATAAAACTGAAGGGGATATTTCATAGCCTTCTTCAATGACACAAGCGCTGGTCTGGCCTGCTGACTGAGAGTAGAGCAGTTTCTATTGTTTATCCTGACTTCAGCAAGGCATGCAGCATTCTCTCTTTCAAAGTGCTCACTGAAAAAATTATAAAATACTAATTACATTAATGAATGTTGAGATGGATTGGAAACTGTCAGGCCCAGAAGGTAATGATCAGTGGCACAAAATCCAGCTGCAGGCCAGTCACTAGTTATGTGCTACAGGAGTCCTTGGCAGGGCCAGCACGGTTTGACCTCCTCATTGGTGACCCACGTGTCGAGAGCACCTCTGCAGATAGCACAAAACTGGGAGAGGCTGCCAACACATCAAATGCTCTTGTAGCCATTCAGGGGCTCTCAACAAGTTAGAGAAAAGAACCCCCTGCAGTTCAACAGAGGGGAACAATGCACTGCTCCTGCAGGCTCCCAGTACAACTGAAACCTTGCCACCTGCACCGGATAGAATGGCAAATGAGCACCTTGACAGCTGCTACTTCTTTCTCAAAGACCTTGGAAAACAGCTTTCCAAGGAGTAACTTGCCACTCAAGACCCAGCAAACCAAGGGACTCACCACAGCATGAAACAGAGTAAGTTTACAACAGAATATTCTCAAAACCAATCTACTTTATTGTGAAATAAGTGATTACCTGTCATCTCAGAATACTCTCCATAGTAATGTAATCAGCTTTTCTAATTCATTACACTGTATTTTGAGTGCTTAGCTTCTAAGTAGTGTATTACATTTTATAATGGTAGATTAGACTTCCAAGGCATTTTGATCTTGGGATAAATTTATTCCTTTTCGTTCATAAACCTTTGTTAACTGAACACACACACCTTCTCAGATATTTCTATATAAAATCTGCATAGAGTGTATTCCACTCCAAACACCTAAAGATTATTTATGTTATTTTAATTTCTGCTCTCTTCCCTCAGTAGGTAGGAAATTTCAAATTACCAAAAATATTTTTTAAAAATTATTTAAATGCTATATGATGTTCCCCTAATATATAAAATTAAATATGTTTCACATACTTGTGGTGTTAAGAAAATCATCTGTAATGCTTTAAAGGATAAGTATCAACTTTTATTTGTTGTCTAATTTTAAATTCAATATTAATGTTTAGTCAAATATTTACACATAATTGAAGGGGGATTGCTTCAATGTAGTAGTAAAAACCATTCAAGAAGATGTTATATTTTGAAGTACTAACAATGTTTAATTATATTCACATTACAGTGCAGCTGAGGCTTTTATCATCTCTCACTTGGATGCCCTCTCACTTGAGGGCATCATACTTATTTCATTAATAAAGGCATCATAGTTATTTCATTAGCATCAAAAAAACCCACAGAAAAGTTGTCACGGAAATTCAAAAGTTCAAAAAGTGATATTCAGTATATTTTATTTGCATGTTCAAATTGATTATTATTTGAGTCTAGCACAGGCAGTGCGGTTTATTATTGCTAGTTTATGTAAAGCACAGAGTTGTATTTATTAACATATTATCTTATATGTACTAACATGTTCATATCCACATATGCACAAAGAAGCTTAAGCAACAAATTTTCTCAGTTTTTCTAGAAA